ACGTGATGTGAAAAGAGGACGATGGTAAACGACACATCCAAACATGATAATCATGACACGGAAGTCGTGAACGGCATAATTTACCTCCACCTCATAAAGTTGTGGTGATTTTAAATTGACATATCAACCTTCCTTATTCGTGCTTCGCATATCATCGATTCCCACTGCACGTCTTGTTTGTCTTTTTCTTGTTATGTCTTGTTTGTATGCGTTGTATGCATTAACCTCTTTTTCTATGGTATTCTACTCTAGCAGATGTGTTGTCCGGTGATTTTTAGCTTTTTAAATGCGATACATTTCTTAGCGAACTTCGGCGAAATTGAGTCTATCTATCTATCTATCTATCTATCTATCTATCTATCTATCTATCTATCTATCTATCTATCTATCTATCTATCTATCTATCTATCTATCTATCTATCTATCTATCTATCTATCTATCTATCTATCTATCTATCTATCTATCTATCTATCTATCTATCTATCTATCTATCTATCTATCTATCTATCTATCTATCTATGTATGCCCCGCCGCGGTGGTCTAGTGGCTAAGGTACTCGGCTGCTGACCCGCAGGTCGCGGGTTCGATTCCCGGCTGCGGCGGCTGCATTTCAGATGGAGGCGGAATTGTTGTAGGCCCGTGTACTCAGATTTGGGTGCACGTTAAAGAACCCCAGGTGGTCAAAAATTTCCGGAGCCCTCCACTACGGCGTCTTTCATAACCAAATGGTGGTTTTGGGACGTTAAACCCCACAAATCAATCATCATCAATCAATCGAAACTTGGTATGAGATAACATGACTGTATAAAGAACATATTCGACTAGTCATAACATAAAAATCGTGACATGTATGTCATGAATGTCATGATTTACATTTCATGGTCCTGCAGCTCTTGCGGTGGTTTCGTTCACATGGCGTGTTGCAAAACTGGTATGATATGGCATGATTGCATGGCGAAGACAAGCGGAAGACCCTAACATGAAAATCATGACATGCATGCCACGTAACAACATGACCACATGTCACGCTTATGATGCGCTAGCGGCCATTTCTCTAGCGTCACTTATACCGAATTCGGTATTACGGGGCGTGAATGGATGACGGAGGTATGTGACTGGTGCAAACATGATAATCATGAGATGCGGGTCATGTAACAACACGATTACATGCTACGCTCATGATGCGCTGGCGGCCGTTTTGCTAGCTTGACATGTACCGAACTCGGTACTACGCGATGCGAACGAACGACATAGGTATATGACACATCGAAACATGATAATCACGGCATGTTTATCGTGCAACATTATGACTACATGCCACACTGATGATGCGCTCATGGCCGTTTCGCCAGCTTCACATATGCCAAATTTGGTATTACGTGACGCCAATGGTTCACGAAGGTGTGTGACTGTTTACAAACATGATAATCATTAGATGCGTGACATGTGAGTATATGACTACATGCCACAGTCAAGGTGCCGATACATTTCGACGTGACGCTGTGCGCGTGCTCCGCGTATGCGTTCCATTGACGCATGCGCGTTTCAGCGCGTCCGGTGGCCCTCCGTCACGAAAAGAGGGAGACGCAGTGTTGACTGGGCAACGCATCGGTGCTGAATGCAACATGTCGCCTTTCGCTCCGGTTGCCGTCGGGTCGTGCCGGCTGACGCTGGTCGCGCCTGGCGTGAGACTATAGAGTGCTCGCGTTTTGCTAACGTAGCGTCGCTGTGCCCAGCGTGCGCGTGCGTCAACGCTACATTGGAGTATATTGGGCCCTTCATGATGCGCACGCGGCCGTTTTGCTAGCTCCACATATACCAAATTCGGTGTTATGTGACGTCAATGAAGGAAGAAATATATGACTGGTGCAAACATTATAATCCTTACACGCGTGTCATGTAAGAACATCACAACATACTACGCTCATAGCGTGCTCGCCGCCGTTTCAATAGCTCCACATATACTACATTCGATATCCCGTGACGTGAATAGATGACGAAGGTGAACGACACATCCAAACATGATAATCATGTCACGGAAGTCATGTACGGCATCATTCACCTCCACGTCGTAACGTTGTGCTGATTTTAAAGTGACATATCAATATTTCTCATTTCTGCTTCGCATATCATCGATTCTCGCTGTACGTGGGGATCTGTCATTTTTTGTGTATTTTACTTTATGGTAATTTGAATACGCGTATATAATGTATTCAATTGTACTGTGTAAGCCCGTCATGTGCATAGGTATTATTACATAAATTCTATACTGGCTAAAGCACCATACGTGGCAGCCTCCTTAGACACTGGCCCCTGAGGTTCCAGTGCAATATTAAAAAAAACACTATGCTCAACACAGGTTACGGCCCAAGGGCAAGAATCAAAGGCTTTTTTGACACGAAGACTTATGCTTGCCTATGTGCTTGCTCCTTGTCGCATTCTTCGCATACAGTGCATGGGCGACGAAAACTCACTACCATGCGCCACCCGTATAAAACCGAGGATGACTGCCGCTTCAGGCTTCCTTTAGTTTTTTCTTCGTTGGAGTCTGTTTTTCTTCAATTTTCGTTCTGCACTCATTTTTTGTGGGTTAATTCAGCTACAGCAGTTTCAAAGATGCCATATCATATTGTTTTGTGTGTTTTTATGCGGAAGTTTTTCTACGTACGTAAGATGACGCCTTTAAGCAAGTATACTTGAGGAAATGCGTGATCTATCCATTTCCGCCCTCCTTTACTCACTCAAGAAATCTCGTTGCAATGAAGCGTCAACCCACGAGCTGCGCAGAAACGGGGGCAAATGATGCTAATGTAGTGTGATATGTGTTGAAATACGTACTGAGGATGTTTTCTGTAAAATATTTGATCACACGTTACTGAACAATTATAAGCAAATAAAGTACTACATCTAGGATATCGATATTACATTCGGTCAGTAATAAATAACGATACAAACTGAGGAGGTATTTTCATAGTCACATATTTACTATGGCAGTATTACGGTACCTAGCCGCATCGAAGCGGATAGAGTCACGCATCTAAGGGAGCGATGAATCATTTTCGTCATTCTGAATATGCAGGCTGCACAATGAAAATATTGAAGGCCGTAATATGTCCTTTTTTGTCTGCTGCCTGTCTAAATTATTTATTTCTCCCGGTTAGCTATTAAAATTATTCATCGTATTTGAAATTGCCAAACGGGAGAGCTAACACGAGAAGGAAACGTTCGTCGAAGAACGTTAGTATTAAAAACTGTCAGTCAGATTTTCGTACTAAGTTACTAAGACATAGTATAGAAGATTTTTACTAATTTATACTCATTTGTTCACAAGTGCATTTTAATCAGCGAGTAGAGAATTATCATGTTGCTAAATGCATCTGTTCGAATTTCGATGCCTGATGCTTTTTTTACTAGTAACTTCAGCAGTCAAAGCTTTCAGCAACTTTGCGATGAAAATGAAGTCTTTGAAGTCGCATAATTTTAGGTCCGACGCTAACCACAAGGAAATAATCGAAGCAGGAATTCTGCGTGGCATCATGGTAGTTAAATACGGCACATAGTTGTCACAAAATATTACAAATTTCTTTGTCATTTTATTTAATGTGCGCTCTGAAATATTTTGATTGAGAATCTTCCACGGAGCTGATTAATTTGGACAAACCAAGACGGGCAGACGCGTACAACTGGCGACTTTATCACATGCTCGTTGCGCAATCAAAATATTCTAATGAGTTCTCTGATTAAAAATTAACATTTGTTATAAGCTACCGATCTTGGATGGTTATTCACCACTGGCAGTGTGACGTAACTGAGATGCACTGGTGTTTTCCGTGAACAGCCTTTCACTATATGTATGAAAAACTGACGAGATCGATCCATTAGGCTTTTTTAGATTTTATCGTGTTGAGATCATTCATCTTGGATCATAGATCTCACGCTGTCAGTGCACTACAACGTGTATTTTTTCAAAACCAAAAAAACACATATTAATAATACTAAAAATTTATTGAGGTATCAATAAATAGGGGACAGATAGCACAGCACATTGTACAAGCAGACACAACACAAAGAACAACACGCAGCTTATCATCGCACAGTTCTTGAACACACCCTTCGAAAGCCAAATGAGAAACCCCGACGACTCAAAACGAACAGAGAGATCTAGCTTCATGCGACCCGAAACACTTTGTTCAGCGAGTCTAACATCCTCGACGCACAACCACTACAGACAAAACCACGCAAACAAAACACAGTGTTTCTCCCTTCGCTTGAACACAAAGAAATGGACACTATCACTAAACGTCGCACGATGGCGCATGTTGCGCAAGTATTTCGAGTCCCATAAGTACTGAAAGAAGCAGCGAGCACGAGATGGCTGAAGCAATAAAGGCAGCGGAAGCAGCACAAGAACAATAGCCACATTGAATACGTTGCAGGGAACGGGAACAGATGAAAACATCGAGAAAGGAATTATCGCTTCACGAGAGACGACAGGACCGCTCTCGCCCTTCACCCCAGAAGCCCTCTGTCTATGTCTCTGTTACGTAGGAACTGAAATATTTCTGTCGAGGCCGTTTCTGATGTCGTGAAGCCGGGGTGGTGCACGGGTTGCTGTCGATTTTAACACTCCATATACCTCAGCGTCGGGCAGTGTGGCCCACTGACTCCCTCCCTGCCGCATATTACGACTGCGCAATATTCCCCATTCTTTCGTTTCCCCTTCCATGTCTCGAACGACAGAAAACAGTTTCCGACAAGAGGCGCCTATTTCCTTGCTATAGATGACGTAGGCTGAGGAGCAAGCATTCCTCTTTGTCCTCACGGAAGTGTGAGATACCGTACGTTTTACATATTGGCGGGCAGGAGCCGTTTTTCACGTTTGGGTATACCACGACTGAAACCATGTCTCATAAGAGACGGCATTCAAAGTCACTCTACTTTCCTTCATTGGAGCGAACAAACCATTGCTGTCTAAAACGAGCTTCACAAAGCTGATGAGAAATCTGGGCCGTTATAAGATGTATACTCTGTCCTGAAGAAGCCAGAATGACTGCATCCCGCGTGCGCCACGCAACTCAATAGATTTGCGCTCAATATTTGCCATAGTATCCGGGATGAACGGCGTAGGTGGGAGCCAGGAAAGCGGCCGCCGCCTTGACATGGTGCTTGTCGACCACGGCGACGGGCTTGGCATCGAACACAGCTCCGCCAGTCTCACCGGGCGCGGTGCCGGGTTCGTTAGTGGAGACGGTGGCCCTGAAGCCTGCGGCGTCGGCGACGTAGTTCACTTGACGGTAGATGCCATTCGCATCGGTGTAACCGTACGAGCCCTTCTTCTGGTTGGCCGAGTCACTGCTCTCCTGGCGAGTGAGCCTCGTGCCGAACTCGTCCACGGTGTCGTAGCCGAACTCGTACGGCTGCGGGGGCTGCACACATAAAGCCAGGAAGGTGCTTTATTCACAAGAGCCACTCCGTTTCAGTGGTTTGGTGTTGTTTGTTACTTGATAAACTGGGGCCCATTTTGAGGACAGTGATGTCTGTGACACTTGGTTGACACTCACTTATATAAATTATTATTGTGCGGTGAAACAACGAGGTAGTAAAGAAGTATATGGCTTTTTCTAATTAGGTAGCAAGCCATTTCTCGGCTGTGAAAGAACATGGCTTTGGACTTGAGCGTTGTTGAACTACAGTGAATTACGATTGAGCAATGGGCTAGTTGTCGAACGGCATCAGTTATGGTGGTATATGCGCCAAAAAGTTTTTTTGCTGTCTACTACTTTTAAGCTGCAACTGATTTCCGGAGAGATCTGTGCTCTCAGGCAAGGACTGTAGCTCGGCCTGCATCGCAATGCGAGATCAATAAGGATTGTTGCAAAACGGCCGAATTAAAGGGCAGACACCTTGTATCACGTGCTGAAAGTAGGGCACTATCTCGCACGATGCAGGTATTATGAGAGGGAGTCTTTTTAACGCCGATACCTTTTATATGCAAGACATTGTGCTGGAACATTAACAAAGCTCTTACAAAAATAGCTGACACGACGTCACATTATCATCTCAGCCAGCTTTCTGGCGATAGTTTCAGACATGTGTATGTCGGGCATCATGTATATATAGAAAAATGCTTCACTCACGTAGACTGGTTCGGCAGCGACGGCTTTGATTACAGCAGGAGCAGCTATAAGGCCGCCACCATAGCCGAATGCACCACCGCCATAGTGGCCTGCGCCGGCACCGTAGTGCGTGGCCAAACAGGAAGCGTATCCCACCAGGAGGGCGAAGGTCACCTGGGAAGACAACACATTAAATCAAGGGTGCTCCTTGCGGCTTTAGATTTAGCCAAGCACTTTGAGCGAAGCAGCATTTTTTGTTCCGCAGGGCCAACCTTAAATGTTTTTTTCTATTTTTGCTAGCATTAGTCATGCTCTATAATGATTCCCGACATATAACCAGTGAGTTTAATCGATTTTCCGTCCCAACACTGCATACCCCAGCGTGCTTTAGAGAATTGACCATTTGCATAGTTTTTCTCACTTAACGTGATGACTGGCTATGAGCGTTTTGCGACACGGTTTTATTCAAGAAAAAATATTCTGTATGAGAACAGACAATATCTTGTTCCTTAGTTTCTACAGTGCTGTGGGCGATGTTCACATGAAAACAAAACATTTTCCGTGAAACAGAAGCATGAATAGTTTTTGTAGAAACACCGTTCTTCGGAGAGTTCGTAAAGGATTATATCGCGTAAGAGGCAAACCAATTGTCAGGCTGATTCTTGCGAATGCCACTAAATATATGCACACTCATTCTTTGTAACATCGCAACGCTCCCTGTTGCCACAGTTAAACAGTGAGCTCCAAAATAAAAAGTAATGAAGTCACACCAGCACTTCATGCCGTAAGCGACGTGCCAGAGAAGGAAAAAAATTGCTAGTTCCACCTCCCTTTGGTCAACGCAAAGTTGATTAGCATGCGCCCAGTGCGTGGTGGACGAACACTCTTGCGCGTGGCTCTTGGCATGAAATTTCTCCCTGCGAACCGGGACTTAACGTGCGACCTCGTTCACGATAGCGCGATAATAGCGTCAACTGTTTACTGCTGATGTGCGAGTGCAGTGTACACCCACATACAACAGGAACATATAGACAATGTGATAATTCAGGTCAACGAAAAAGTAATTTTGAGAGCGTTCTCCTCAATCAGAATCTTATAGGTGTTAAGATAAATGTATTGGCTCAAAATCAGTGTGATTAGCTTTGATTTGTATCTACTAGAGGAGAGGTGAACAAGAGTCAATGCTAAACTGCCGTGGTGTGAAGCTCTTAAAAAGTCAGTAATATTTTGGTGCTTCTTCAACCTGCAACGTCAGATGGGATTCGGCCTTCCCTAGAAAAGCGAAATCCAAACCTGGTTATACTGCAATAAGTAAGGGGTTAATAGATTTATAGCAGTATCTCAATGCGCATTATATACGCAAGTTACGTAATATAAGAGGGTGGTCAGTGTACGTGAATGTGAGAAGTTCACCGAAAGACATTGCTCATCTGACCACTGATTCTCTCTATTCCCGCATTCCCTATATACCATCCTTTTTACCCTACTGATGCCACTGATTCCATATCTATTCCACGAGGAATTCGAAAAAAGTAAATCACAACATAGATTTTTCATAACTGAAAGCTTTTTAGTTGACGAGAAATTTGTCCTGGTGCGATATCGGAACCTGGGACCAATGCATGTGTGTGGTGGAAAGGATCTCCGTCTTACTGCCTCATAAAGGCGATGGTCCCGAGTTCGAATCCCGGGCAAAGTCAATCAGGTAATAAACTTTTTCTTTCTGAGAAATCCGCATAGATTTCCAGCAAGCTTAGAGCTACGAGTGGGCTGATGGATATTCTACATTTCGTTAGTCCTTAGAATCTCGGCAAGCTCATACTATTGACACTAGTGCGCTGAGTGCTACCTGCGTGTCCGATGCAGCGAGGTGTGCGCGCCACGAACTCACCTGAGCGATCATTATTCCGGCTGAAGGAGATTAGTAAGCCCTGCGGCTGACGCTGAGGAACGGATAGCGAGCTGCGGTGGCGACTGACGACATGTTGCCGGTGGCGGGGCCTTCTTATACCCCCGGGCGTGCGGCCCACGGTGCGTCCATTGTCCCAATTCCTAGGTCACGCGTTTCGCGTCTCCGGATCGTCCGTCCCCGCCTTCCGCCGGCCGCAAAGCGAATCGCCGGAAACCCAGCACCCTCTCCTTCGTCTGCACCGCGCAGGGTGGGCAGTTGTGAAGAAAAAATATGCAAGAATCAAAAGAGACAGGGGAGACAGTCATGAAGAACGCAGGGCGTTCCATGAAAGAATGCAAGAAAGTAAGACAGAAAAAAAACAAACTATTCGTAGAGCGAAAGGAGTAAAAGGAGATGATGAGGACGACGTGGTTGACGACGGCTGTCTCTTTTTTTGTGCTTTTATTCGTTGACGTCTCGACGCAATGAAAACACAAGCGAGGTGTTCATCATCCTCCCCACGTGAGAGATTTCACTTTCGTCCGCTCTAGTAGAGCTGTGCAGTTTGCGTGAGAGGAGGTGGGAGGTGAGGGTTTGCATCGGTCAGCGGTGACCTTTGCGCCGCAACTTATGCATGGACAGGCGCTAGAACGTCACTCGCGCCTAGTCGGCCATACATGGGTCAGTGGCAGGTTTTTGATGCTGCTGATTGCCACTGAACGATCGGGCTATTGTGCATGCAGAGCGTCGCGCTGTCAAGGTAGCGTGCAAGGACGTACGGACGACGCTTCAATGAGCGTTGTGCTGCGCAGTCGAAGTCCGCGCAGCTCATTTGTGCTGTCCGTAAGCTTTGTACATGTTGAATATGGATACAGTGCGAGACTTCATCCGACGCTCAATTGAGTGGCACTCCTTGTTTGAATGAAATATGTGTGTCAACGTAACACCCTCAGTGTGGTTTTGCGGGTGCGATGCACGAATGCTCGGGACGTCTTTTGGGAGGCGGCCGCTGCTGCCGCTGTATCCTGCAGCAGCTGCTGCTCCTAGGCGGGTGTAGGCAAACCAAGGTTATTTCGGCACTCGTCATACGTATGACAAGACGAGGAGGGACGGGTAACGGTGTTTCAGTCCTCGGGTAGACACTTGAATGAATAAACAGGGCCCGAACATGCGCTTGTTGAAAAGAAACCGGAGCAAACCCGCTTCCTGAGAGTAACAGCGCTTTCAAGCGTCCTGTTCACTCATGTGATTGAGTTGGCCTAAAGGCGAAACGAAAGCATGTTTGCAGTGAGATGTCGGTTCGTTAAAGGGGCAGAAACGAACTTTTGGGCTCAACGGCTGCGCCGGAAATGAAAAGTGTCTATTTTTGTTTTTGATAGAAACTTATGTGGGCGGGCTAATTATAGACGGTTGGTCGAGCGTGCTCCTACATGACCTCGTTACATAAAGCCATGAATGGCATGGGCTTATAGAACACGACGTCCCTATTTAGACTCCGCCTGATGCCGTGCCAGACAGTCAACGTCAAGACACACAGCGTGGGGCCATCACTCTTTGACTTCGGCTCCAACAACAACAATATATAGGGTGGCAAGACTCGTTCAAAATTGAATGTCTTCTTAGTTTAAGAAAATGAGAAGCTTCCAGTACGGTAATGAGCAGATGAGGTTTCACAAATTCACCAAGGGTAGTGCTGTGATTTGTTAAGTTATTTAGGGACAAAGCTGATCTGTTAAGTGTACTCTTAGCAGAATGCCTCGGTATAAGTCCACTAGGCGCACACGTGTGCGTTTTTTTAAATACCACGCATTGTCTAATCTGATGTGTCATCTCTATTCCTCGCACCGTAATAAAACTTGGTAAAGAACTGCAAAGCTTTTATCGCCAATTGAGTTTTCGCTGATACAGTTTCAACGGCAGCGAACGAAAGCGGTATAGTAATAAGAGCGCACGAGTCTAGCTGGCATTTAAGTATACTGTGAGGCCACAATAGCTCGAGGGCATCTGGTTTCGATGCACGTAAGGCAGCTCTACAATCAAGAGTAGCCACGTTTTGGGGAGCAGCAGCTGATGATTCTTCTCTACAAACTTTAAGTACGAAAGATGCGTGATCTACGCGTACTCTTCGGAGATCTCTGCAAGCGATGAGATTCAACAATTTCAAAATTGACCGATATCAATGCTAAACAAATGTGAAATGCAGCAAATCCAAGTTGATTTAAGAGTGATTAAAATGTCGAGAGTGAGAGTTCTTTCTTTCTTTCTTTCTTTCTTTCTTTCTTTCTTTCTTTCTTTCTTTCTTTCTTTCTTTCTTTCTTTCTTTCTTTCTTTCTTTCTTTCTTTCTTTCTTTCTTTCTTTCTTTCTTTCTTTCTCTCTTTTCTTTCTTTCATTCTTTCTATCTATCTTTCTTTCTTTCTTTGAAGCTGCATATGGTGAAACCATATTCGGTGAAACCGAATTTCGTCTCTTCTATGCATGCAAGAGCTGTACGCGTGCATGTGCCAACTTATGTGCGTGTGCATGCGGCAAAAATATAGGGCAAGCCCGACTACTCACCTGCTGAACGAAAAAAAAAAAGAGAATCACGCTGACAGGCCTGCACAGAACGTGCAAACAGTCACAGTGAAAGCTGGAAAAGTGGCTTTTCAGAGCCTTTTTACACCCTGTTCGGGCAACGGCTAGAAGCACACTTACTGGGCAACCATTACGCTATTATTCAACATTATGTTAGTGTAGTAGGGTTGGTTAGTCGGTTGGACCCAAGAAGAGTGAAGTCACCACGAGAGATTGGTCATGGACCGTGCTGGCAGTAGGCGTTTTGGGGACAAAAAGTACTATAAGGAGGCGTTCCCTGATTTCATTCTTCATGATTCTTCGTCGAAGCGTGCTACCCACTACACACTTGCAAAACAATTTGAGCAGTTTTTTGACGCCAGTGGCTGACGATGTTTGAAAATACTGCCTGAAGCTGTTGTAATTGGTTGGAGCATTCGATGACCCACTCGTTTAGCAATTCGCATTGCGTGGCCCCTGGTTTTTTCTTTGCTGTTCTTAATTGCTTTATTTACTCAAATTAACCCGATTCCTTTCCCGACATCAAGCCTGTCTAAGGCCAGTTTGCAGCAAAGTTTCAAGCACCCTGGGCTGGCAAACAAGAGACCGGAGTTTCAATCTAATTGTGTCCTTGGTGTTTACGATTTACTTAATTTTATTTCTTATTTGGTACGATAGCGGTTACGGATAGCGGCGGAAGCAGACAACTACGACAGACGTGATCCTTGTTGTGATCTCGTGGCAGCTTTCGCGGTAAAAATCAATAGGAGTACAACGGGCGGTCAATGATAATTACAGTTTCTGGACAGACTTGAGCAATCATTGCGAAAAAGTTTGATGAACCATCAGCACTAACACATTTCACTGGTTTACAATTTGTACGAAGCGCTTGAGTGGTGATTTTTTTATTTTTTTGGGTGGGGGTGGGGGGCATGGGAACGTGCTGCACCAAGCCATTCATATGAGTAATATAACGAATATAAGTACTTCTTAAAGGGCCACTCACCACCCCGCGTTCAAAAACGAGGGGGTAGTTTTTCCCTCTCCTTCGCTACCCTACGCACACGCGATGCATTCTTCTCGCCCCTTAGCTCATAAAAGCACCTGCACAATGTCAACACTGTGCGCTAGAGCTTATCAAGATTTCGCGCTGCTCGGCTACATGCTATTATCACCGTTCGCGCAGTTGTATGTGAACACACAAAATAGGGAGTTTTAGAATAGCGCACCACGAGCCCTTGCGGTGCGGTCGCTGCCACTGCGCATGCGTCGTAACGCGAGTCGGCGTTCGCGTTCGCGGACCGCACGCGAAAAATCCGAAATTGCGTGTGGTGATGGCGGCCCGCATGTGGCTCGCAATCGCTGGTTTCGAGACTGCGGTGTCGCTGCGATTGTGCGTTGCGGTTTGCAGCAGGGCAGACGCTATTCTAAAGCTCGTATGGCGCCCGCTACGCCCCCAACGCCCGCAGCGCTTGCAAACGGTATTCTAAAACTCCTTAATGAAGTGTGGTCGGTTGACCGTGGACAACACCTATGCCAAGACAAGGAAGAATGAATGGACGGCTGCATGAAAACGCAGGGCAGGAGACAGATCACATTTGATATTTCGCGTAAATGGACCAATCGAGAGCATGTACACCTAGACGGCACGGGAACCACTGTCTACGTCAGAGTGTGCAAGATGGACAAGAACTATCAGGAGAGTATTGCTCTCGTTTTATTCTCTATCGAGAGCTTGTTGAGTTGCCATTTAAAGAGCCCCCTAAACCGCCTCCAACACTTTTTCAAACATTTCAAGAAAAACACGCGCATCTTGTGCAGAGTGCCCTCACGATCAACCATTCTACACGTGGCAGCGCCACCGGAGCGCCGAAAAGTTTCAAGAAACTATCCCTCCTCCTCTCCGGACTTTTCCAGCCTCCGCGTCACGTCGAAACCTTGAATCTCTGACACGCAGCATATTAATGCTGGATTGGACGAGCAAGAGCCTACGACTTCCGGTTAGTCTGCAAGCGACTGTCGGCGCCGATTGTTGTTCATCGTGTTACCCGCGTGCGTGTACGCCCTTGCGAATCAGCTGTTGCGGCCCGTAACACAGATTGATTGATTTATAAGTAGGATTTAACGTCCCAAAACCCCCACATGATTGAGAGACGCCGTAGTGGAAGGCTCCGGAAACTTCGACCACCTGGGGTTCTTTAACGTGCCTCCAAACCTGAGCACGCGGGCCTCAATTTCAGCCTCCATCGAAATGCAGCCGCCGCAGCTTGGATTCGATCCCGTGACCTGCGGGTCAGCAGCCGAGTATACTTTAGCCACTAGACCACCATGGTGGGGCACTCTTAACACAGAGACCATGCAGGCACGAGTCGTATAAGCACGTGCCGGCACGGCAGACGCAGTTCCCCAGCAAGCACGCAGTTGGCGTAGTCGACGGACGCATGCAGACTCAGCGAGCGGAAGTGGACGGTGTTTCGAGCAGCGCGTCGGTGATGACGTATGACGCTCGAGATTGGGAGCGCCACTCGGCGAATGAGCAAAGCGGCTTTGGGAGAGGATACTTGGGGAGGTAGCGAAGCAAAAAGCGAAAAAGAGTGATTGTCACGTTTTGATGATCGAGCTCGTCCAACTCTGCCATTACTACCGCATTGTTTCGGAAAATTCTTACAAGTTTGTGGTCGTGCTATGCTTGTGCTTAACTTCCCTACCACAACTGAATTTCGGTTTCTGGCGGTTTAGGGACCCATTTAAATATTTTTACCACTTTTCGATAATAAAGATTATTGGCCTTTAAAAAGAAGATTCATGAGTAAGACAACAGTAAGATATTTGTTAAATGTGCGTATATGTCCGCATGATCGCGCCTAACGAATGCGCACGGATGACTTTCATTCCTTTATTATTCAATCCACAGGTAAACAAACAAATTCTTCCCGAAGGGAACTCTGATGGGATTTGAAGGAGCAGTAGTGCGCACGGAGTTGACCCGGTTGAAACGGGTGTCGACGTGGCTGCTGGAAGAACGGTTTGAAGCGAAACTCGGTGTAGCGTTTACTCGAGTAAACGTTTGCTCGAAACGCAAAGAAACGGGAGGAGGGACGCTTTGAAGACCCTTGCGCTCGGCTTCCTTTGTTAGCGTCTCGCCGGTGTTACCCGCGTGCCGTCTGTATTCTCGAACGCAATCGGTGTTCTTGGCTGGCACCTTGTCGGTGTCGCTGGTCTTTCACTGCCGACGCAGCGAGACTGAATTTGTTGGTTGTTAAGCTGTGGCCATGTAAAAACTGAAGTTGGTTGGCAAGAACGAAGGCACAATACGTTACCTTTTTTAGCACACTCGATTGTGTTCGCGCAGTGCGTAGATCATTTATTGCACTAAGCAACAAAGGCAATTGTTGAGTTCATCAGTTAGATGAGCACTGCATAACTTTAGCGCTGAGCGTTGGCAGTAAGCCCTTTCACTGCACGCAGAATTTTATGAGCTGTATTGAAGTATAGTGCACAAACTATGTGAGTATTCGTAAGTGCGCTGAAGGAAAGCCGCCACAAAGAAGTACCAGACGTGTGTTCGTTTTTGTAAATTCAGCGCTTGGTTTTTTTATTGTTTTCTGCACACAACGAACAACACTTCAACAAGGGACGAGACAGTAAGGCGGTGACATATACTGAAAGCATTGCCCCTAAACGGTATGAATGACTGCTTTAAAGAGTTCGTTATGAAGAAGAAAGCAATGAGCAGTTTTCTGAAAGCGCTAGCATTCCGGAAGAATTTTCGAGCACTTATGATGTTTATTACTCTAATAATTGCTAGATCTACTGCTTGAAGCGTCACAAAAATTGCAACTACGTAAGTCACTGAGTTAGAGAACAAACCTAGCTTTGAAGGGCACTGACGCAACATCTTCAACAAGTTAGAGACCTGAACACGAGTACAACATGAAACATATACACGGCACAGAAAATATATTCTGTGAAATCACGATGCAAAAACGACACGGTGGCATGCGGAGTTATCACATTAGGAACATGGACTGGTACAAACATAAAGCAGTGGTTTGCTGTATTTGTTAACGTGATAACGTAGTTTTAATTTAACAAGTAGGGCATATAGAATAGGAATCGCAATCAATAGAATGCACCCTGCGCCAGCACACGTATGACCCAGCTGGTGTTATGTGAACTTAAGTTTCTTTAACAAGAAACTTAAGTAGCGTGCATTGGTAGAACGCACAAGCGATGACGAATGCGCACACATACCAAGCAGATGAAAAGAGATGACAAATAAATACACCAACGCATCACGGACTTTACAAACAAGAACGATACTGTACAATATCACAATACAAAAATATCTAAACGCGCTTGCATTGTTTTTTGTGTGTTTTTGTGTATGTTATGCATTTCATCCTTTTTTTTCAGCGTGCAGTCTTTTCGCCACTCGCGACCCATCTAGCGCATGCAGTTGAACCCGTTTGCTTGAAGCCCAATTACGAAGGTTTCATTATCTCTTGTAAAAGGAATGTATTGCTTTTTTTAATATAAAAAGGGCTTACCCATTAGCACCCATGAAAAAGTTACAAGCAAAATATGATAAAGGTGTTCAAGGACGATTATCCACAAAAGCATGAATGCATTAGGTACTGGAATGTTTTCTATGTCATATCATCCAGTAGATATCACCTCTGTTTAGTGACATGACTAAATATTTCTATAGATTAGAGCTACCTAAAATAATATTAGAATAAAGCCTTGTTACCTGGAGAGGTCGTGTGGCAATTTTGTTCTTGGCAATGTTTGCAATGATGAAATACTGGGAAATGTTAATTGAGCAATACTGTAGCGTATCAGTTTGTTGGTGGGGATAATGTGAGGCTTTCTCTTGATGATAGTGTTAATACTGTTAGTGTATTATGTTCTTGCATAATGATTGATTACGTGAATGTTTCTGTTTCATAGGAATTGAGAAATTCTGTCCTATAGACATTCTGTCCTCTCAAATTATGACTGGTAGATTGCCACTATAGCTCAAGAGGAAGGTATATAACAGCCGTATCTTGCTGGTACTTAGCTACGGAGCAGAAACCTGGAGACTTAGAAAGAGGGTTCAGCTTAAATTGAGGACGACGCAGCGAGCAATGAAAAGAAAATTGGTAAGTGTAATCTTAAGAGACAAGAAGAGAGGCGAGTGGATTAGGGGGAAAACGGGAGTTAAGGATATTATTGTTGAAATCAGGAAGACAAAATGGACATGGGCCGGGCATGTAGCGCGTAGACAGGATAACCGCTGGTCATTAAGGGTAACTAACTGTATTCCCAGAGAAGGCAAGCGGGTTAGGGGGAGACAGAAGGTTAGGGGGCAGATGAGATTAAGAAGTTTGCGGGTATAAATTGGCAGCAGCAAGTACAGAACCGAGTTAACTAACGGTACATGAGAGAGGCCTTTGTCCTGCAGTGGACGTAGCCAGGATGATGATGATGATGATGTCCTGCAGGTAACCTGAACAAAAACTTGCACACATCTTGTAATAATACTGTGTTTCCCCAAGGTGCCTATCGAATGTCTTTGTGTACATCGAAAGCTTTTTCCCTTGATTAAAGGATAAGACTAAAAACGAAAGCCGCATTTTGTCTCTAGCAGACGTGAAAAGAAAACAGAACTACTTATATGCACACAAATTTTCTCAAAAGCGACGCAAGAGAAGCAGCTTGCATGTGAGATCGGTGTGGAGTGGTAATACAGCTAATGTTAAGCCGCCATGGTATTCTAGTGTTTTTAGTGCTCAACTTTTGCCCTTAGATGACGGGTTCAAATCCCGGCAATGGTGGCCATGTTTTTCATGGAGGCGGAAATGCCGGGGGCCCATGTACTCAAAATTAGGCGCAAATTAAGTAACCCCTGGTGATCGTGATTTTTCGGAATAGTCTACTACGGTGCCTCTCATAATCATAGCGTAGTTATGTAATCAAGAATCCTTACCATGATTATATTAATACAGTAGAGCGAAAGTTTTCTATGCTGTCACATCAACCAGACGGCAGGATAAGGTCGCAGGTGTTCGAAATGATAACACAACCGGTATAATGTAAGCAGGCTATAGACAATATAGGCACTTCTAAAGCGTGCGGCCGTAGCGTCGTTTAGTGGGAGTAGGGCGAGTTGTAGTGCACGTCTGCGGGGGCGCTGGCGGCTGTTCCCGGCTCATTCGTGGTGACGGTGGCACGGAATCCGCCGGCGTCGGCGACGTAATCGACTCGCCGTGTGATGCCGTTCGCATCCGTGTAGCCGTAAGAGCCCGTACGCGAGTTGGTGGCGTCGCTGGTTTCCTCGTGATAGTGGTGGGCACCCTCCAGTGGGTTCACGTTGTCGTAGCTGAAGTGGTAGGGCTGGGGTGGCTGCGAAAAGAAAACGAAATCACTTTTATCGCAACGCACTGCGCAACGTGCGCTAGCATGGGGTGATGTTTGTCGATAGATAGATAGATAGATAGATAGATAGATAGATAGATAGATAGATAGATAGATAGATAGATAGATAGATAGATAGATAGATAGATAGATAGATAGATAGATAGATAGATAGATAGATAGATAGATAGATGGATAGATAGATAGATATATGGATAGATAGATGGATAGATAGATAGATGGATAGATAGATGGATAGATTGATAGATGGATAGATTGATAGATGGATAGATTGATAGATGGATAGATTGATAGATGGATAGATGGATAGATGGATAGATGGATAGATAGATAGATAGATAGATAGACAGATAGATAGATAGATAGATAGATAGATAGATAGATAGATAGATAGATAGATAGATAGAGAGATAGATAGAAATGTTTACATGACTTCGTAGTAAAGCAAACTTTCTCTCTGCCTTTCTGGCGAGTAACACCAGAAAGACTCTATTCTCTCTCTTATCGTTATATTTGTTTTTCTATTATCCCCAGCACTGAGATCAAATAGGACATAGGCCTGATTGATCTCCCTGCCTTGTCTTTTGTTGTTCTTCCTCCCCTTCAGATACGCACACGTGCATGCAGAGGAAACCTCTATGCCACAGAGTCCATTTGCTAACAGGCTACACCTTACTGAGTGTAGAGAGAGTAAAAAAGATAATATTTATTTGGCGTACCTGGACTTTCCAGGGCCAAAGCATTTATTCCAGGGGCTACACATCGACTCACTTGCATCATGCGACATATCCTAACGTGTTGAATATTACGCCGGAGTACGACACTACAGCGAATCTCATAATCATAACCTCAGAATTGGCACGTAAGACCTACTGAATATTACTTTTTTCTTTATCTATGGATGAACGAAAACATACTTGGCGGAGGAAGACTGAGAAGTATAGTTGAGGCCTTCGGTTTGGTATTGGCAGAAATGTGTGCGTGCACTCGAACTTTGTCGCTAAACAATTTTGAAATTGCATTCTTAAGCGACATGTTCTAACCCTCGCGCAAGCGAACGAGCTGAGGAGAACTGCGCAGCACTGTTACGTGGACCATTCTTGATAGCAGTTCCGCTACTCTGATTTGATTTGTAAATTTTCTGGTTCAAGCATACAGCTTTTTTTTTATTGGTATCTTTCCTTCCTCCTTGATGCAGCCTGAGGTGGCTTCTCACAAAAGAATAACAGATAAAAGTATTCTAGCAGTGCTTTCTGTCCCGTCGGAAGCGTCTTTTTTGTTTTACCCATGCACCGCATAACTCCGCAACCAATGATCAACTTGTATCGTCTAGCCCAAAAAAGTGCTTTATTCAACAGCGCTGAGGTGGGGACCTAGACCAAACTGGACTTCGCACACTTATTAATTTTGCGTAACAAATATGCCGGCGCGTACAGCCAGACCAGTACAAGAGGCAAGCGTAGTGTTGTTTTTTTTTCTTTTCACTTAGTAAAGCGTTGTGTATTAACTGTAAGGTGTCTGTGCAATCTCTTTCCCCAAGGCATGAGCAAAAACGAAAATCTTCCTTGTAACGCTACGAAGACCACGATGGTGCCTTGCCCGAAAGGAAACCTCCGTAATGAAAACAATGTAAGAGCACACGACTGTGGCGGTGCGAGCGAGAACGGAATGGGCTAGGTGGACCTATTCGTGGATCTCTAATGAAACACCGTAAAAGTGTCGAGTGTTTCCGCATCGTGATGTATCTAAATACGAGAAAGCAGAAGATGTACTGAGCTCTTTCACCTCATTTTCCATTTTCTTTTTCTGTGATGTAACGAATAAAGAAGCGTACGAGATGCACTGCGCGCCAGAGTGTTTCTAAAGTGGTATTTGTGCTCTGGCAGCCCAGAAGATGACTTGGGGGAGAAAGTGACATTTTCAGCAGTCACGTAAATTGTACCTGCGTGCAATGACCTTTTTTCGTTTGAAGTTGCATCAGAGTAAGAAATAGATAGCAGGAGTAATTGTGAATCTGACCTGCATTTTTATGTTCCTTTGCTGGAACCTGAGTGACTTTTGCATTACCATCGTAAACATACGGCACGTGTTTAGCTTACTGACATACAAAACAAAAAAGAAAGTTCACCTCATTGTTTCTGTTTTTCTGTTTACCAATGGTGAACGTTTGGCAATAAAATGAAATATTTCAAGCCTGAACATTGAGAAGCAATTCTTAACCTTCCAATGACAAAGCGGGCTTGAAGTAAAACTCGTTTTTTCTTGCAATGGTACCACAACAAAGTATATTGAATTTCGTAAGGCAGATATATTAAGTTACCTATATACATGTGCACGTAGTTTAGCGTCTTACCACTTGTAGCATGCAACTTACTCTTTGTAGAAACCGTACTTTATCCTATGTAAGTTACTGAACAAAAAAAAAAGTATACTACGTTCCGGTAGCTTTTGTTCTTTCTTGTCTGAAGATTTTGATAATTACGGCTTTGTAGTATTCTGAATTATAAAAGTAGATTCTCCCAGTGACGTATTTTTATATGCCATAAGAAGCGTTCTCTCGCAAAAAATATGAGTGAATATGGCCAGAAAAAGTGCCGTCGACAAAAGTAACGTGTATTTCCGTAAGCGTCAGGCATGATTCTATTGCAACCGCCTTTATTTGTACCAATAAAGGTGATTGTTACTCAACCTACTGTACGATAATGCCTTGCTCAAGGATTGGTTTCATTCTTTTGTTCTAACGCGATGCCCGATTCCCATTTTCGTCTTTCCTGTGCGAAATTTTATGCACGCGTTCAGAAAGAAGACGGAATGGATCCATTGCCGTAGACTAAAGCGGAGATGGTATTTTTAGAAAGGCACAAAATAAAAAATTCACGTCTCAACCTTCAAGTGATAGCCTCGTCAGCACTGTACGTATGGAACCCGTGTACTATAGCAGTGCACGACGGGTCGGGCCTTTTCGTCGTTCTAGAAATTAAGATCAGCATCGAAACGCAGGTTTCAACTCACAGCGGAGACGTTTAGACGAATCGTAAAAGCTTTGGTGTCTGCAAGTTTGTACGAAAAGTGTCATGATGCTGATCGGGTGTATAACCTAAATTGGGGGAAAAATATTGCTCCTCACCACTGGTCTAGTAAACACGAAAATGCCAGAGGTGGGCTGCAAACACAACTTAGGATTTCTAGACACACTTAACCAGCATCCTAATTGAGAAAAGCTTTAAAAAATGGGGCTAATCTTATGCTTCGTCTGCAGGAGTTGAACGTGACAGCAATATTCTGGTGCTGGAGCGTACTTAAAACACTTAGTGTATGACATATTTTCGAACTTACTATGCCCCCACTAAGTGGCCTTAAGGGTGCAGTAGCGTGTGTCTTCTTTATTGGGTCACTGGCTTTTAACTGTCACGTCGTTATGATAATTCTATTTACTGACGTCCGATGGCAGTGTACTCTTGAACCACGCGTTATTACGGCTATATTCTATGTTGTAATGTGAAGCATGTATGCAGGACGCATGTGCTTGTAAAACTTGAAAGTTACTTTCACTGCATTTCGAAGCAGAGACGTAGATGTATGGCAAACACACACTCGCCACACAAACAACCCGTGTTCAATCCCCAATTACATAGAGAATTTTAAATATATATTTTATGGGCATCCTATTGATTTCTCGATCACACAAAGATGATGATTTTATCGCTCGCATTCAATTAAGGACGCTGACGCCAGAATTTCAGCGAAACGAGCTTTTTAACGCTGTCGCGTTAATAAATGATCGAATAAATGGAGTGTGAAACACCGTGGCAGCACGTGTCAGCTTCGCTGAAGCATCTTTACGGAGTGCTTCAGAGGAACGTACAACAAGGGAGTGATATGAAACGGGAAAGGTAACGGTGGCTAACAAGAAGAATCCGAAGCAATGAAAGCCCTACACGATGTCAGTACAGAGTGCTTCGTTGATGGTATTTTATTTTATACTAGAATGATGAGCTTCTATGTGCTAACCAGTCTTCATGCAATGCAACAGTTGCTCTGCCACATTATATCCGCAAGTGTATAGCTGGCGGATGTGTGGCCACGGTTTCTTGAAATATGCCCCATCTAGCTGGCCTAGCACTACTTTACAAATGTGGCAGCTGCGACTAGTTGGTATGACATGACAATAGTTATAGCGCGAGAACAGAACGACAACACAGAGACAAGAAGGACACGAAGGACACGAGCGCTCATGTCCTTCGTGTCCTTCTTGTCTTTGTGTCATCATTCTGTTCTCTCGCTATAACTATCGTCTAGCACTACCGCAGCAATGCAACACGCTCGGTATCGGAGTGTCCGTTTTTCGAGCCATATATTGTGACTAAATGTTTAAAGGAATTTGCCTGGTGCGCTTAACGCTGGCCAGTTTCACTCCCCGCATCTTTAATCGTTCAGGTCCATTGTTCTAAGGACTTCACTGTAGCCCGGTTTCGCAACTGCGGTGGGTCGTTACACGTTTTATAGCGGTGCACTGTTTCTCGCACTGTCACAGTCGGACAGGTCGCCACATGCCTTCCCTCTCAGTGTCTGGCTTTCAAACCGTTGAATACTATGGCATTGGCAGTGTATCATTAGGTCATCCGAGCCTTACTTTTTATTCTTTACAGTCTCTTGGCACCTCTTAACACTTGCGGAACCGTTTCACCATCGATTACATTACGGGGTTACGCTAGAAACCACGACTGCATTGTTCGGGCAGCGAAGTGTTTAGCAAGTCACATAGCACTGTAGTTACCTCATCGAAGCCGCCACCGCCTGGGTAGACAAGCACTTGAGACATGGCGCAGGCGATGACCGCCAGGAAAATGAGCTGTAAGAAAAGCGAAGCGCACAACAATGGTATGAACTTCAGCTGATATTCTCCTTTGGAAAGCTAGAAATTCATATACAGATGCATTTTCGTATTCATTAATTTCAAATAATATACAGATCATTACACTGTCAGCTTGTCGCACTTTTGTAAGCATGACTTCCGCATTTGTCTTGGAGCGTTCTGCACAGACATGCTCTCCATAAGTCAAGTTCAATAGTGAAGACGTAGGGCTGGCTCACGAAAGTGATATTTTGCAGTTTAAAGTAATTTGGGTGAACCACTTAAATTTCTACGCGAATTCATTGCTAGTTGTGAGGTCGGTCATACAAAAAATGCGTGTAGCACATCTTTAGTTGCATTCAACGGAAAGTTTGCTTCAGATATTGGCTAGTTGATAGTATACTCTGAAAAAAAAAACATTCTCGGGAATATCTCAAAAGATATCTTAAAAAATTTATAGCAGCAATGTCCCACAAGGTATCTTGTGTAGTAGGCATAATAAATGCTGAAATGCTTCCCCTACCACTCGTACAGGTGGCTAACCAGAAATGAGGTCCGCGACGTTGCGACGCCTGAAGGCTGTAGGGGCTGTTGGAAGTAGTCTGAGTGGGGTGATATCACCGCATGAGAAAGGCAGACCTCTTCCAGCACAGTATTTTCTGACAAAATATGCCGTATGAGTGTGCAGACAGCGTGGCTGAGATTTCCAAGCAAATGGCTGAGCCTCGTGAAAATATGAGCACGTATTGGGTGTCTGCCACTGTACAAAATGTCTGAATTGAAGTCACGCGAAGTGAAGTGCCGTCCTTATCGCTTTCTCTACTGATATAGTTGCTGTGGAATGAGAATTCCGTAAAGGTTTGGTTGAGCTCTAAGATGAATGAACTTGGAAATAAGAGTACGGGTACAATTATCAGGTGTTCAGACTTTCCGAAGTTATCTACTATGATCTGGCTCACAATCACATCGTAGTTCCTGCACGCAAAATCTCCGAGATTAGTATTGAATAATGAATGGGACACTTGATGCACAGATTCCTGCAATAATTTTCATACTTGTCACTATGAACAGCGTCATAATAGCAATAACCAGTATGACCGTCATTCCTAAGCACATTTTCGTCAGTAGTTCCAGCTGTCAGACTACATTACTAGAGTGGGTAGGTTAGGAGGCCTTTCACGGTACAGTTCGCTTTTGACAGTGACCGTGTATGAGGTAAGAAGTTAGGTAGGTATGCACCGAAGTGGGTCATCTCCAGCGTTCGTTTCTTTGTTGCCAGGCTGTTTCGCATCGCCACACGCAGAACTAGACCTGCACAACCATTTCCCGAAAGAAGAAAACCTCGCTGACGATGCTCCGAGGAGTGGGTACGCGCATTGTCGATAATCCGGGGAACCACCGTCGAGTATCCGAGTGTTGGTGCCGTGAATCGGAGAACTCACCTTGGCGAGCATCTTTCTGTCCCTGGGTTTGGACGCCGCGTCAGCTGTTCGTAGTTACTCAGGTCTGAACCAAGCCGCGTGTGCACAACAGAGTGACAGCGTCCCTCCCCGATGTCCGCTTATATATACGGCTTCGATCCAGGTCTCAATTGATTATGACCCTTCCCCCGCGATATCAATGGGGGTAATCAGGATCCACCCAGCCTGGACCTGCAAGGAGCGAGGGATCGTCTTCCCTCCACTATTGGTCCTCGCGGCTGGTTACCAGCGAGCGTTAAGTTATTCTGCAGGCATATACGGGTTGGCATCCTAGAAAGATAGCGTTTCGGAAAGGTCGCTTCTCCTGCCTCGATGAAAACGAAATCCTCCGCCAGGCGGGCTCGGAACGACGGCAGTGCGAGATGCCTCGCAGTTGCCGCTGGGCTTTCGACGCCCTTCTCACCCTGAGGACGTCTGGCCTCGTGTTTTGTTGTTTCTTCTCCTTACATCAATTGATACTCGCTTCCCCGCTGGTGTTTCCTGTGGAGTACGAACGCACACACAGACACTCGCGGGTCGGAACGCGATGAGCGAGATAGCTCCCTCTCCGGAACAACGTCGGTAGACCACCCGGGATATATTTTTTTTTCCAGCTTGTTCACTTTGTTGCTGATTCTCAGCTGTGCGTGTGCGGGGTCTGTTTCGTAGAGCCGATATACGCTTGGCCGGCAAGGCTTCCGTTTTGTCTCAGCAGGTCGTGTTTTATTCGTCGTGCCCGCGATACTTAGTTGTGATTCTTCCGCGAACACCGTTTTCTTTTTGTTTGGGCAGGACCCTCCTCTCCATGCAGGATTATTAAATTTCGAGAAGTATTGATGCCTCCTTCGCAGTGTGCCAAGGCGAAGAAGGTGTGACGTGTACTGGAAAATTCTCAACGCGAGCCGCAATACCTGAAGTTGGTGTGGAGAAACATAAAGCTTCATACAGGTTATAATGATATAAAAGTTATTGCATACCACATCATTTGTTGTAACGCAGTGCGCTTCTCACAGATAATATGAATATTGAAGGCCACTTCGAGGTTATTACATAAACGTACATTGTAATAATTCTTTTCAAAGAGCGCGAGAAGCTATGGAGCGAAATCTTGGAGGGCAGAAGTTGCTCATTCCAAGCCGAATGTTAACACTACGTGATTTGATAGCAGTGCTATAGAGTATGGAAAGAAAGAACACGATTGGAAAAGTGTGCCTGCAGTTTTCCTTTCTTTCTCTATGGCAAGCTGTACCGATATACCAACCTTCCGATGTTCAAGCAAATCATAACCTAGCTGGTCTAGAGCAATCTATTGTCGCGGTCAAGACTGCTGGTTGAGTCCTTCCAGCCCTCATGACAAGTCATAGCATTATTGATCTCGAGATATATTTTCATTCGTACTATTGACATACAACATTCAAACGCTTTTCCAAGTTGAGAAATGAAGCTTATTCACTTTGTATTTTTCTGTCTTGCCTAACTTGTTCCTGCAACACTTATGCATGTTTTTTTTTCTGTTCTGCATGAATGCTTCATCGGCTCTGTTATCATGCATGTGCTTGTTGCAAGGTTTCTATTTATTAAAGTCTGCTGCATAAGTGACCGTATGCTCTCTGTGGTAGCGTATGGCTGGGCTGCAATATACCACGCTCATCATATATAAGGAACGTAGAAATCTTATCAGCTTCATCAGGAAAGCTGGAATGGAAAACGTTGTTGTGCAGCATACCTGTGAACTCGGAACCCCCACGTCGATAGTGTGATTATTGCATCTCAAGAATGTTTAAGACTGTCTTAGTGTTTCTATGAATAGCCGGTGCCCTATTGATGCACCAACATCTCCTCACATCACATCAATATGAAAACAACAAAAAGATCAAATATTAACTTTCAGTCGAATAAAAAATGTTTCTGTTAAATGAAATCATTTGGCGTGTGAAATCATTTGACGCGTGGCTTGGGAGTTCTTAATGCAAGGGTCTGCTTGTCACACAAAAAGAGTGCGTATAAGTACTAATCCGGGTATATTTTGCTTGCAGAAGTGGGGAGAATATGGTTTTCATGGAGAGATGGTAATGTGAGTAGTACTCCCAGTAGATTTGTTCCAATTTTGCGGGTTTTTAAGGGAATTAGTTGCCACCTTGTGCGTCTGCTATCCCATCGTATGCAAAAAATAATCTACATGGTTCCAACATCGATTCGCTTTGTACGTGACAACTACATAAATCTGGGTGCTGTGGAGTATTCTAGTAAAGGGGGGCTGGTGCTCAGACGTGCACCTCGAAGTGTGGCACAAAAACTTCTAAACGCAGAAATACAGAAAAGGCGGTATCTCACTAGAGATGTAATGAAAATCTTGACATGACTACCTAAGCAGTGATAAAAATCTTGCGCGTTGTGTTCGAGTCCGTTTGCTTTCAATATACGTCTGAGATGACAAGCGCAGAGAAAGGAGGCCATGGCAGTTGTCCAAATGTCAAGTACGATTAATTTACTGTGGTACTACAGTCCACTCTTGAAGGGCGGGGAAATAAGGATCCAGTTGATGCTCGTCACTTCTTCATCCAAGGTCCCACCTAAACTCGAAGATGCCTTTCTAGTAGAAGTGGTGTTCATAATTGACTAGTCATGCCCTTTCAAGACGACGCCTCTGCTCCCAAAGGCGCCGTAGCATGGGGTATTGGTACATTCGATCTCTTGCTTGAACTTACTTAACATGCGTCGATATCTCTCTTATGCAAGCATCGTCGCCTTCACAGCCCATTCAAATGTGGCACGGTGGCTTGGTTTGGAATACGCGACCTTGTGTCTGGTGACGCAGTATTCGCAGGCACTGCACCACTGCTCGCAGGGTCGGCAGAAGCGACGATTGCAAGCGCGCGTGAAAAATGTATGCCAGTGCCCCAGAAAGCTTTTACGCGGGGAATGACGTTTTGTATATACCCCGTGTTCCCCTTGAGAGGTCGTTTGATGGAATAATTCTCAGCACGTTCCAACAAGCGCCAGTTATTCTTTAGGCGCCAGTATTTATCGGGATTACATCTGTGGCAGGCTGAGTAAGCCTCATGGTCTGGCGACATAGCATTCCCCACTTATGAGGGCAATGGGTTATCCTCCTTACCACTAAGCAGCAACCTTTGTCACTGAGGTTCTGGGGATCGTGCCACGCTTTTTCCAGCATTTTTGATGACGTAATGGTAGATTGTTGGGATAAAGACCATGACACCAAATACCATATGGTTGCTCAGAGAATAAGCACGTCGGCTGCGGAAGGAAGACAACAAATATAGGGCCATTAACAGGGTGTTGCCTTAATATGTTTCCGGAGGGACAGAAAAGAAAACTTGATCCTCCAACGGCCTCGTCTGGTACTATAAATTTTCCATAGGACTTGCAAGTTATGTGCATTAAGCTCACGCGGTAGTTGATTGATAAACAGACTAGCACCGAAAGAGAAATGTTTGATGTTTTTTTTTACCTAAGCGTGCATACTGGGAGCTGATTTTATCATACTATGGTTCTCTACGAAGCCCCAGAAGCAAAGCAGAAACGAATCATGTCACCAGATACTATTCCTAATGCATTTCAAGGCACAAAAAAGACTTATTTTTTACAATAGTATAAACTCTAAGTCGTAATATTCAGCCTTAATAGTTCTCGATATGCGTTTTGTGTGTTTAAAATGGCCTTGCTATAGATAACAAATATCAGAAAGACATATTGAGTGTTCTTTTCGAAATTAACTTTCTAGAGCCTTTATATAATGTCAGATTAATGTCACGCTAAGTCAAGTAGCTTTTTAAATTAACCTAAAAGGACAACTATGGCACATCTTTATCTTTATTAACTGCTTCGTACAAGCAAACATCATTCGTTATTCACGCTTTGAAGCACTGGTTCGAAGAAGTGTAATGCAGTTCTTGAGTCGCGTTGCTCTCGAAAGTGATTCCTTCACGCTTCTTATTTACGCTTCCTCATTGCTGACATAGACACACTTGTCAGGAGCATAAAATATTGCACTGTGTGCAGGTGAAACGCAGCAAACGCGGTGCAGATCTCTGACAAGGCCTTTCTATCACATTTGTTGAGAAATTCAACAGAGCTTAAACCCATCATCAGAGAATCTAAGCTCCCCGAGAAGTTGTAGCAGGACTGCCTGAATTCAGGATATTTATCAACACTTCTTTCTGTCGTCGTAGTTTCATCTTATAAGGCGTGGGTATCCTCACCGAAAGGAAGCTGCACTCAGACTGGCTTTCCGATGACACATTTAAATACGCTTCTTGGCTCTCACAGGGCTTCAAGAATAAGCTCTAAGAATAAAAATAAAAACTGACAGCATTGCTCATGCAATGACGACTCGAAGGCTAATGTTCTGATGCTTTTGCACCACCACTCCTCGAAATATTTCTGCACCTAAGGTGTTTTTACATTGCCTCCATGACCGATCCGACTACCGGCCAGGCCACGATGTCATTGATGACTTCACCGTGTAAAGTTGCATCACGCGATGTCTCCATGTTGCCATGATAACGACACAAATTTTGGTGATCTGGGAAGTCATTGGTACGTTAAGTGGAGGTGTAGTACGTTGACGCCGATGGTCAAATTTCGTGTTTGATGAAGAATCTAGGGCTTCTGCCTTAAAAAGTATGTTTGGTGAACTGAAGAGGGAATGATGTGAATATTCTAGAGCAATCCGGCAGCTAGTGATGCTTGAAAATTACAATATTTATTCAGCCTTTCCCTGATCCGGATAAAAAATGTAATAAACTACACTAAATGACCCAAATATTTGAAAGGTAACCTGTGAAACTGTGACAGCAATTATTATTATCAGTGTCGCATCTCTGCCTTTTTTTATTGGGCGCTAGTTTCCTAATTGTGCAAAGTCGCCCTCCACCTAAATTATTTCCATTGACCCAAATGAATCTGCCATTAAGATGATATATCAAGAAAACGGGGAGTGTCAGTTGCACAAGAGATGTCCTTGGATCTTTCCACTCGTTAGTTTAAACCTTCTCCTTTTCCGCTCAAAAATGACGCAACTACATAATCAATTCAAAGCGCGAAAACGTTAGGTCACTGTCAAAAGCGCTTTAA